CGGAGCAGGAGCCTCAGGTGTTTGAGGAGAACATCAGGAGTGAAGGAGCAGCTGGGAGGTCCTGACAGTCAGAGAGATTCAAACTGGAGGAACTTGATCAACCATTAACACATCCAGTTCAGCAGGACGTTGTTTAAACCAACATTTTTCCTTTAATCGATGAAGACCTGCAGGTTCTGCTCAGTCAGAAGAACCAGAGAACTTCTGGATTCTTCTCTTTAAATCATTCATTGATTAAATTCATAGAATCAAATATTTCACTTTGATGATTAAGGTTCAGATATTCGTTCAGTTTATTTCTATAGAATCTCATCTTCAGCAGCATCAGGCTGAACGCAGGAGGACGGACCTCCATGCTGCATCAGAGCGCCACCTACTGATGGAGGCGAGGAGGAAAGCCTGTTTCCTTCCGGTTCAAACCTGTTTCTGCTTCATCATGTGTTCAAGAAGACAAACAGCTGATAATGATAAATGATATGTTAGCAACACACCCCAGAAGTAGCTTTAAAAGGTCAGAGGTCAGGTCTGGAACCCGGACTCTGTAGGAACCCGGACTCTGCAGGAACCCGGACTCTGCAGGAACCCGGACTCTGCAGGAACCCGGACTCTGCAGGAACCCGGACTCTGCAGGAACCCGGACTCTGCTGGAACCCGGACTTTGCAGGAAACCGGACTCTGCAGGAACCTGGACTCTGCAGGAACCCTTGCTGATGGTGTTCTAACCTCCCTCCCCGACCTTTTCACCTGGAACACCAGGAACCCTTCCTAGTGCAGAACAAAGGGCGGGACTTCCTGTCAGGAATAGGCTCCGCCCCATAAAATCACCTGATCCGGGTTCCCTCTGTCAGAAAATGGATGATGGATCCATTTGAGAAAACGAGTATTTATTCAGATTTAGTTCCAGTTTTTCATTTCATTCCAGACCTGCAGGTTTAGGCTGTAGAACCGTCCCAGTCTGCACTGCTGCCTGTCTCCCATTATGCCTCTACTGGGAACCAGTTACCCACTGAGACTGTCCTGCAGAACCTTCCTGCTCCTGTCTCACTGTTTTTGTATCCAACCCGTCAGTTTTCCTGCCAGCACCTGACCTACATCCCCCCCCCCCCCATGATGGCGCGGCGGCTAATAGGATCCATCAGCAGGAGAGGCGGGGCCTCTGAAGCTTTCAGGGCAGGAAATCGATTTTTTCTGGCCTAAATATGACTGAGGCTCCGACTTTAAACAAACAGAATAGTTCACAGGAAATGATGTCAGAATTAATCCGCTAGGCTGCAGATGTTCTGATGGCAGCAGAACCAACGGAGGCGGATCTACCCTAGATCCATTTCAGCTGATTCTCACCTATACTGGGACCAGTGACCTCCTGTTTCCATGACGTCACACTGGGACGAATGGGAGGACACAGCACCTGGTAGCTGCAGTCACAGCGCTGCTACAGACCCGTTGCCCCAAACATCACAGCTTTCCTCCTGTCAGCTTCCCAGATCAACCAGTTTCCCTGTGATACTGGGCCCAGTTCAGCACGCAGACATCTGCCACCACTTTGCTTCTTCTGCATTTCAAAGAAAACGTTCTGCTCTTTCTGGAAACAAGCATGACACTGATGTCTGGATGCGGTCAGGGTAGAGCGAGGGCTGGAGGCCGGCAGCTACAGGAACGCTGAGGAGGATCACGGATCACTATGGATCACCGGGATAAAGACTTTTTTAAACTTCCGTAAACCCAGAGCACGCTGGCCTGTGATGTCATCGCGTCCTCTAACTGCGCATGCGGGACACTTGCGTTGTATGACTGCTGTTCATACAGGAGATCACAAACAAGTCGCATATATTTGGAAAAAATGAACGGAAACGTTAAAAAAACGGATTTCGAAATAAAATCGGAATTGAGCATCAAGGCCTGCGGTGCGAACGAAGCCTGGATTAGTTTTATTTTCCTTCAGCCTCCAAAGTTCAGTTCTGTTTATTTCTATAGATCTGATTCACAACACGTCATCTCAAGGCCCTGAGTTAAGGTTAGTGTTAGGATTAGGGTTAGGATTAGGATTAGGATTAGGGCTGGGATTAGGGCTGGGATTAGGGCTGGGATCAGGTTAGTGTTAGTGATCAGAGCCCAGGGGTCAAAGTTCAGACTGTGTTTGATTGCTCGTTAGCAGGATCCACTTGTTTCCTCGTCTGCTAAGCAGAACCTCCACCGCAGGTCAACATGGTGTTGAACTCTGACCCCCCCCCCCAGTCATAGCAGGCCTCTGGAGCCCAGACCTTCATCTGCCAGGAGGAGGAGGAGGAGGAGGAGGAGGAGGCGATGACTGATGACAGGGAGGAGAGGACCCCCCCAGTCTGTTAACACCCATAAACTCTCAATCTGTCAGCCTTTCAACACACGCTGGGGGGGGGTTGATCTGAGGGGGGAGGTGGCGATAGAATGACAGAAAGGAGGGCTGGGCTTTCTGCCCTGATTGG